AAAAAAAAAAAAAAAGCCTTTGATACAGAAAACTAGTCAAAAAATAAATCCACCTGAAAATTTTAAGATGGTAAAGTTGTCTTCTTTTCCTTTGGTCTCTCTTCAATTTAAAAGTACCTAAGCTACCACCACATGATAACAAAATGTCTCATTTTGTTGTCACTGTAATTCCCAGGCAGGATGACAATGAAGAATCGAAGCACACACCAGAAGCCACATTTGGCAGCAAGCTTGTTCCCCACATCACTTTCCAGGATCTAAAAACCTCACTGGTACTTTGTTTCTTCTAAGGAACTAATGTCCACGTAGGACAGCCCAGGTCCAGAAAGACCTGCTTTAGGCTTAGGCAGAGAGCGGCGTGCAGGGCAGTCTTGTGCACTGCCTACTCTCAAAGAGGAACAGGATCCTCAGCTGAGGCCTAGAAGTGGGCATTAGTACAGCAATCATAAAAGAAGAAAAATTACCGCATTTTAAAAATCCTTCCAGATGCCCAAATTACTTCATCTTTGCAAGAATGTTATGGTTCCCATCAGTACTGTAAAACCATCATTATTTTTTTCTGGGCACTTCCCTGCCTTTTATTTTCTTTTTTCTTTGACATTTAGGAGGTGGCCTACATGGAAATGACACTTTTCTACCCTCCCCTGTTCTATCTTCTTCTATCAGAAGAGAAAATAGCTTTCCTGCCAGTGTGGATGGCTTTAAACAAACTGTTTTGTCCCTCGATGAATTATCTTCGGAAATATTTATTACAAAAGTATGTACTCCAGCCCCTTAAGGGCAATCACTCCAGCCCCACTCACACAACCCTCATCAGCGACAGCTCTTGTGAGAGGAATATTTAATATTATCTGCTCATTTGTAGGAATCTGCTGAAACAGTGGTTCTTTTTAAGTCTCCACAGTGAGGTATGTTAATTACGGCGGTAATGATGGAAGATTAAATTAAGGGACTAATGAGCTTAGTATGAAAAACACCAGGGCAAGCTGGCAAGCAGTGAGCCAACCAGAGGCTGCCCTGCCTGCCTGCCTGTGGAAGAAGCCACTTCTTTCAGGATCCGGTTGGCACTTACGGTGGTTCCTTAGGACACCACCACCGCTGACCAAGTCAGCACTGACTGCCTCCCCTCACCAGGAGGGAAGAAGAAAGCCCTATATGAATAAGAACTAGAAAGACAGTGAAGAAAGAAAACATGCAAAGAAGTTAACTCTCCTTTAAAGTATCATAATTTCATTTCTATTACAACCCCCCATGTTACATCACCAACTTTAAAACCTGTTCTGAATTATACTATACTTTACAGCATGTGTAGTCATACCAAAGAAGTTTTTCTTAATAAGTAGAAATAATGTTCTTCTAAAATAATATGAGTGACTCTTGTTTGCCATTTCAGTGATGTCCAGTGAAGAGCCTTAGAATGTGAATTTGAATTCTGTCACTTAAAAAATGTGTTATCTTCTGTAAACCATTTTGCCATTTCCTCTGAATATGCTTATATACACATATATACATACGTACATCTCATAGGGCTAAGAGGATTAAACTGAAAAGTATACTAAAATCTGTAAAATTCCATTAAAATATTAGTTATAATAATTATTACTATAAAATTAAGACAGACTACTTAGTTACTTCTTAAGAAGTCACAAGTCTCTTTATATTCGACTTTGACACCTCAGCCTCCAGTGGCGAGCATACAACAGGCACAGAAGAAATATTTTTCAATAAACACAGGGATTTCCCTCAAAACACGGAGCCAACAAAAGATACTTTACATTTCCTTAAAGATGTGAGACTAATATAAATTTAGTTTGGATACTAAGCATAAGGGGAAAAGAGAATTCTGTGATGCTTGTAATTATAGTTTTTTTTTTTTCTCTCTCCACTAAGCTAGGAGAGCCACAGCCTGACTTGGATGAGGTCATAGCAATGCTTCAAGAATGCCTCAGGGTGTCAAGGGAAGAAATCAGCTCTTACCTTCCAGTGGACAAGGGACTAGCTCTCCTTCCAGTCGTGCTTCAACATCTCCTCCACTGCAAGTGTCCCCAGAAATCTTCCGGTAGCTGTTACCCACGCCCAAAGCAAGAGATCAGAAACATCAAAGAAAAGCCGCAGAGATACCACCATTGGGAACATCTCCCCACCAGGAACAAGAGATCTCACGCACACATTTCCCTACAGAGCTAGGAGGAAGGCGTTGCGTTTTCTGAGTCAGTCCTGCTTATAATTAGACAAAACAGGTCCAGACAATTAAGCATCCCAGGCAACACTGTTAAAGCTATTTCATCTCTAGACTCCTCAGAGGACTTTTCCCTGCTGAGGTGTACGACTTAAGATGTGCTTGGAGCTGCAGAGATGCTCACAGACTCCCACATGTACTCCTTTCCCCACAGGGAACAGAAGAGTTTGCAGGCTTCATGGTTTTAACTGTTGCCCAACTACTTGCAACCTGCTGGTTTGGAATTCTAGGACTTGGAGTATGAAAGGAGTCCAGATGGCCCTGAATGCTCGCTCCTCTTAAGAGCAGCCTGAACAAAGGTGTCATACGTACCCTCTTGTTCTCCTGTAAGTAGAACCCACGGGGCAAGGCACAGGAGGGGAGTACGGCCTCCCAGAAAAGTCTGGGTCTGGAACACATACTTCTAAGGACAAATCTTCACTCATCTTGAAGCCAAAGTCACTGAAAAGGAACGTGGGGTTCATTCAAGCCAGTGCACTGCACATTTCAGGCGCTTCAGGAGCAACCCTGAAACTTTTACCGTATTACTTAACACTTGTATTATAAGTTATTTAATACGCCCTTTTAAAAACATACTCACTTTTCTAGACAAAAATACATCTTTGAAAGAACATTTTGATCAGCAACCTCACTGGAAAGCCACTAGTGTATGCCACAGACACAAATAAATCATCATGCCATAAACAGCATAACAGATTTTATCCATCCCCAGCTCCCTACCTAAAGACTCTGGGCCTGCCCTCCCTTAGTTAAAATGCACTGGCAAACATTAAGTAATTACTAGCTCCAGTGAGACTTTCTCCTTGACATAATCAGGAGAACTGCCAGAGAAATTTAAAAAGAACTTTTTATTTTAATGTCACTTCAGACCCTGTTTACACATTACCTACATCACTTAAGAGTCCTTTTCCTGCAATTGGGACATAGAAGTTTGGTTCACAAGACTTCCCATGATCTGGGGCATCACGTGACCCAAGGCTCCCAGCTCTGGGGGTAGGAAGCACAAGGCCTTGGAAGAATCTTGGCTCTGCCTTTAACTGCACAGCTTCTCTGGGCCGCGTGTAAGAACTTGAAAGCCAAGCAGCTATACTACATACTTTCCAAGGCTCCATCTGAGCTGTCAACTCTATAATTCAAAGGGCTTTTTCACATCTGCACGCTCTACCTGAACAGCTTCATCTACTTCATTCAATTCTATAATATTTATTAAACATTTCTTATACGAGAAGTGTGATCAGACACAGGGCAAACTGGTTTGTGTGTTTTATATAGTCCAGCCCTACTGTATCTGATCTTTCCAATCTCATCTCCACTCACTGCTGTTGCTTGCTCCCTCCAAAAAGGCATCCGAACTAAACTGCTAACGCTCTCCTGCCTCCACACTGCTGCTACATGGTCTAGGAGCGACCTGTCCACCTATCCTGGCGCTTCTGTGAAGTCAATCTCCAGCAGGACTTCCTCCACAACTCCCTGATCCCCCAACTGTAACTCACAGCCTTTGCCTTCTTTTCAATAATCTCAATAAAAGCACCTATTCTTCCCATAAGGCACTTGCCCCTTTCCTTCTCCTGCCACAGTTATTTAAACACAAGTCACGTCTACCCTTAGTATTTCCAACAGTACCTTGGATATTTTGCTAGAACAGTAAGTTATGAAACACAGTACGTACCCGCACACATACACACACACACACACACACACATTGCCTCACTGTAGAGAAAGAAGTAAGCCATTCTGGAATACGGGTCCTGTGAAAAATCAGTTACCCGCAGTGGAATCTTCAGCACTCTCCTTTTTCAAGTCACCCTTCTAGAAGTAAATTCCAGAGCTTTTATCTCTGAATAAAGGACTGTAGCTTCCCTGGGTCACAACATCCCAACTGCATCATACGGCTGTAGGAACTACAGAGGGCAACTTCTGAAAAAGTGCCTAGCGTAGTTCCTGGCACATAAAAGATACTTTTAAAATGTTTATTTCCTTCTATTCCTGTCCCTTCAGCAGGGAAAGGGACCATGCACTTGTCTGTTTCCCACACCCTGCTGAGACAATATAAAGCAACTTGATGCCCCAGCAGTGCAAGAAGAACCAACCATTCATAGTCCTCCCGGGTGCAGGAGCAATTGGACACGACCACTGGCCTATCAAAGTCTTCTCCATTAAAACATGTTGCATGGGGGGTCCTCCGTTTGAAAACAGTCTTGTGTCCAAGCAGACACTCATTGCCCCGCTCATCAGAAGGTGACCATAGCTTGTAGTCATTCTCTGTGCAGGGAACCCCTGAAGACAAACCAAATAATGCGAAGCATCAGAGTCAGGCCCATGAGGGGTTTCCTGTCTCACTTACCCCATCAGCCTAGTGCCCCATTTCCTTTGCACCCTGCTGCCCTCCAGCAAGCACACAGAACGCAGGTGCTGTCCCATGCTCTAACTGATTTGCACTGATGCTGGCAGCATCCATGAGAATAAAAATGATGCCACTTGAGACATAAATGTTCATCTTAGAAATCCAGAAAAAAAACAAGCCATTTTTTAGCACCATCCAAACTTCTGAATTTTTAGTCAGCAGTTCACTTTATGTGACCAGGGGTGTTTCTTTCCTAGGCAAATAGGGATAGGTAAATCCTTGATAGGTGATGTCATTCAGGGCTTGCCTTTTTTGGAGGTGCAGGACTTTCATGAAAAGAGGGTGAGAAATGGCAAGACAATTTGCATCACCCCACCAGCCCACATTCATTTC